TCTCTCTCTCTCTCTCTCTCTCTCTTCACCTCTCTCTCTCTCTCTCTCTCTCCTCTCTCTCTCTCTCTCTCTCTCTCTCTCTCTCTCTCTCTCTCTCTCTCTCTCCAAGTCTCTCCATCATGATCAGATCGCCTACACTGTATAGTGTGACCCGCCAATTGCCCGATGCATCATGGTATAGAAAACGTGCAGCTAGGAGTTTGCTACATGTACCCCCCCCCCCCCCCCACCCACACCCACCCACACACCCACACACCCACACACCCCCCCCCCCCCCACCCCCCCTCCCACACACACACACTACACACCTACACACCTACACACTGTCTAAACAAATCAGATCGTTACGATTGTAATCTGCTTACCAGCGTGTACCATTCTAGACGAACACTTCTCACATTCTTTACTGATCGATTCAGTGCTGCCGGTATTGTTCCAAATTATGAAACAGCAACAATACGCATGTAGTTTTGACTTCGAGACTTTTTGTTTGGGTAAACTAGTATTTATTTATTTATCTATTACAGCATCTCATAGCACAGTGAGAACACCGGCCAATGCAGAGAGAGAGAGAGAGGGTGTTAGCCAACCACGGCTAGTATGCATGTTGATCATGCATGTCAACATTATTATTATTATAATGTTATTGACGGGACACGTATAGCGTGTTGTACACTCTGTCTACCGTCTGTACTGAATTGATAGCTTGGTTTTCTACACGCTGCGTTGGCCAACTTGAAGGTACATGTACCCGCCACAAACAGGTCATTGTATGTCACACAAGCAGTACCCTGAAGCACAGTCTCGGCTATGCGCTAGATGTGGCGGCTCATTAGACAATCGCCACTCGCTTGAGCCGTTATGGACCATTGTCCCGCGGTGCACGCTCCTTATATGGCGTCTTATGTGATCGTGGTCCTGGTTGCCTCGAGCTCGGCCAATAATACCTTCACAATGGGTTGTCTCCGACTGTCATGGTGAAAATTGAGTTGGCAATGGCCATGATCATTAGGACTGGTGATCGACATCCTGTACTTGGTCCTGCAAGAATGCATGGGGCTGAATGGTACATGTACAAAAGTACAGTCAGGCACAATACACTACACGATGTACTACTGTAGTTGGTAACCCACTCCCAGTGATCTGCTGAAGATGCTGCCAGTGCATGTCTGTGTCACGTTTCGCCCTGAGAGTTGAATCATGCTTCGCAAATTCGGTGTACCCTCCTAATAATAGTGATGTTGATGAAGGCAGAGGGGGTAATTTTTGGTGGGGAAATGTTGGTGCCCCTTTCCCAGCCTGCTTACTAACTTGCGTCAATCATAATATACCAAAACTCGGCTTACAAATTGGACAATAAAACTCATACTTCGTATCTGTACAAGCCACAAAGTTGCCACAGCGTCGTAATGATAATATTATCATATAAAGCCAAGAGTTGCAGTAAGAGTTGCAGCTAGCAGCACAGCCCAGCAAGCAGGCTTTGGCTGAAGTTCGCTCAATGTCAAGAACTCCTAAAGCATACAAAGGGTGAAGAAATGAGAAAGATTAATGCCATAAGGTCGAAAGTGTCGTCAAGGAGAGGAAGCCATAGGATTTTTCTTCCATTAGGAGTCAAATTTGTGTCAAAGGTATTTTGTCAGCATATAACTTGGTCATGGGTCCGGTCACCAAAAAGTCAAGCAGAGCTTGCAAGCCAAATTCATGCATGTGTTACAAGCTTTTACAACAGAAAAGTATAAGTATTTCAGAGCATGGCCATAATATTTGGTATATAATATGTGCAGTCATGTTGTACAAATCAAACTATTGAAAAGAAAGGGGCAGGGAGGAAGAAGAAATGAAGTCATTCTGTGTAGACGTTGGGCTGGTCAAGGAACGTCTTTATTGTCTTGGGCAAGTCCAGCTTGACAATCTCCTCGTGGCTCAGGAGGCAGTTGGCCCGTAGCGTGAGGCGGCAGAGATGCTGCAGCGTGGGGACGTGAGAGTAGCGGCGCAGTGGCCGCGTGAAGAAGACCTCGCCCGAGTCCACTCCCTTGGCCGGCGCAAACGCCTGGCCAACCTTGTTCTGCTTGATGTTGGGATGCAGCAGGGCCAGCATGTCTTGGAACCTTCCAGGCACCTTGCCAGGCCACTGTACATCCAGCTGCTTGTTATCAGCCAGCACATGCACGGTTTCACCGTTGCATCGGACCGATAGAACGAAAAAATCTCTATCAGTGGAGGAATCGCGGAGAAGAAAATCACCATCCGTGCCATTGCCCAGCACTGTCTCGCTTTCCTCTCGGCTCAATGGTCCCCAGTACCAGCTGAGTCTCTTCACTGTATTGAAGTTGCCCAGAAGGTGCGATTGCAGCACGATTTCATGGAGTGAAGATGTGCTGGACGAAGGTGTGATCAGCCGCGTTGACGGTTGCGGGTCTTCTCCTTCGCTATCACTGTCATCCTGCTCGTCCGCTTCTTGTTGGTGCCACCCTGGCATTACAGGAATCGCTGGCAGTGGACGCTGTCCGAAGGTATTGTTCCGACTTGCAATCCGTGCTGTTTGTTGATAGGCACTGGTGGGACTATCATGTGAAGGGCTGGCATCCTGCGACCAGCTAGCACAGCTTGTCAAAGAGAAGCTGTAATCGGACGCCGAGGACTCTGACGACGGGCTTGTTGTCGTGGCCATTGCGTTGCCGCTATCCACCGGTGAACAGCGCACCAGCTTGCTGTGTCTATTGGCCGGAGAGAAAGGGGTATCACTGCCACTACTGGAGCCAGAGCTGACGTTGCTCTCGTTACTAGTACTGCTGCTTGATCGGCACAAATCCTCGTGAGATGAGGGCGTTTGGGGAGCAGGTCGTTCGGACACCGACGAAGACGAACGGTGGAACGAGAAGTACGTTGAAGATCTCTTGTTGCTCTGCCAGGCGCCAGACGATAACTTCCCAGTGGCTGGCTCTGCTGCTGGCATTGGCGTGCGAAACACTGGCGTGCTGCATGGCTCGGATCCTCTGCTGCTCTGTGGAATATGAGACATGAAGAACGGGTTAACGCACAGAGCACCATCTGGCACAGTAGTGCTGTTGTGGGATATGCCGTAGACCAGCGAAACATGCGCATCTCCACGCTGCCGCTCTCCACACCTATTCAGCCCGCTTCTACTACCTCTGTCATTGATCAGCCGAAACCTCTCTGTTATCTTGCTGAAACCGGCTGGTGTTCCACTCGCGGAAGTTGAGGAAAGGTTCACAGCCGATTGAGAAGCCTTCCGTGTCGCAGCCCATCTCCGTCGACGCTGCTCAGCCGAAATGCTTTCCGTCGGGCTTTCCGCAGATCGGTCCAGTTTCCTATCCGATTCGGCAGCAGATGACGGCGCTAGGCTGGGACAACTCTGGTCCAACGACCTGCGAGTCAAAGTACTGCCCGTATCCGAGCAGACCGACCTTGGCCGTGCGTTACTGTCCACCGTCCTCTCGTCGATAGTAGTATTAGCTGTTGGTCGCGCTAGCTTCCTCTTGATGGAAGAGATACCCGTCTTCCACCGCTGCTGCTTCCGCAGTGCACTTGTCGCAGAATCGTCCATTGCTGTTTTGTAGTTTAGAGTTGATAGGGAGTTGCAGCGCAGCAACTTCTCCTCGCCAACAGCACAGTGTTCACCAAGACACAGGGGAGAGTAACGCTGAAGGATTACCTCGGCGCTCATTCTGAATTTTTCCGCAGGCTGCAGGAGGTTTTCGCTACATTGGGTGGCAACTCGCACCCGCTGGGTCTACGCGTATACGGACCAGTATGGAGTCACCTCTGCTCTCTAGTGCAGTGTGAATGCTAACGAGGTGCGAGGTGAGGACGTGGGTGACAAGCAGAAATACTAGGGAACACTGGAGACGTGGATTAGATCTACGCTGAACTGCGGTTTCTGGTGATGTCTACCTGGGACGAGCGTATCGACTACACTGCAAGACAGGACCAGCGAGACAGAGTACATAATGGACTAGGACTCACAGAGATTGAGCGTGAAATGAACAGTGGCCGCGAGCTTATGGTGCGTGCTTGCTTGTTGTAGACGTGATGATCGCCCGTGCAGACTCACTCTGAGAGTTGCAACTCCAGCTACGTCGGTAGCACCCACCGTCCCACAGACAGTAAGCTCGGTTCTGTGGGTCTAGCGTCTGCCTACACAGTCAGCATACACTGACCAACGTTACTCAGCGGAAATACGTAACAGCCGTTATGGTACATCCAAGGACTCCATAATACTAGAAAGTAGAATAGTGTGTTCGACCAATATGAGCGGTTTTGCTCGGTACAAGAGTGATCTGTAGACTGTACTGCATGCACTGGCTGTGGGGAAGGCGGGTGACGGGGCTATTCGCGTCCGTCAGCGTCGAACCCAAGTCAAGGTCAGCCGGCGCCACTACAGTCTGCAGGCAGTGGTCAAGCTAGGCTACAGAGGAGGCTTTCAGTTTAGTATGTATGACCACTGACCAGTGCTAGCTTCCGGGCTGTGGGCCTGCAGCGTGTTAGTGCAAAGGGTTTAGTACATAATTGTATCACAAATGGATCTAGGCACGAGATCAGTTGTGCAAGACGAGACTACATACCTACATGAATGCATGCATGGGAAATGCTGAACTAACTTTCCAGCGGCTGGAGTCAGTGAAGACAGTGGCGTAAGGACCTAACTGGTCACTCATCAAGCGTTCCGCGTCGATTCGCACGCCGCTCGTGTTGATTGCATGCTGGCAGATTACTTCTCCTCGTGTTCAGAGTCGGGCTGGAACTACGGGTACGTATGGCCCAAGAATAAAGGCAATGTGGGTGCTATCGAGAGCGGCTAGCCCCTGTTCGGCAGTATGCCCATCAAGGCTCGTAACCCATCATTGGCCAAATACAATGCGCCACTCTGCGTGCCTAACGGAACCATGTACAAACAGTTCAAGAGTAAACGAGCCACCCTAGTATAGTGGCTACACTATTGCCCGCAGCGTTCAGTAGAACGATCATGTTACGGATTCAGCGTATCGATGCTGGTCAAAGTGCGTTTGCACAGGGACCCCGACCCGCTGCATGCGGTACTCCACTTCCCCTGGCCTGGCAAGGTGCTGAAAGTGAAACTACAGCTTTCCCATCCCGGCATATGTATTCGTTCACGAGTCACGGCCCACTCAAAAGCTGAGCACACCGCCGCAACTGCACTCGGCAGCACTCTTCCCTACAACGTGTGAAGCGAACACATTTTCACCACCACGTTTTCACTTCGCTAATATTGTGTGGTACAGTACTTTGTGTTCAGTGAAAAGCTGCGCCATGGCCAAACATACATGATTGTACTATTGTACTATTGTATATCCCAGCCGGCACAGCTTGCACAAATGCACTGGCAATTTTCAAAGGAATGGGAATATGCAGCACAATAGAATAACTGGACTCGGATGGAGAGCGAAGAATTAATTTTTAAGAAGAAATGAGGACCAAGGACTACAAGTTGCGCTATTGTCCACTAGCACCACCAGTTACTTTACGATCAGCTCATGCGATAACATTGCACGACACTGACCAACGGTACTGACGTTCTACACCTAACTGGCAATGAGCTGATTGTAAAGTAACTGGTGGTGTTGGTGGACATCGTAGCGTAACTTGTAGTTCCTTGCTCCTCATTTCTTCCAATAGAATAATCTTATGAATATTGGAATACTTGATGTACCAGTCTGCTATGTCGGATACCGCCAGCCATGCATCGGCCAGGCGCCAGGCGCGAACTGATGGTGGTGGTGGTGAGAAGGAGAGCTCTGTGCCAGAACTTTGCAGCCTAGAGAGCGTGTGTGGGCAGGCGTGTGTTTACCGCCATATTGCCAGGTGTGTCTTTACCACCATATTTATGAACCAATATTAGAATGATGTATATTTTTGGTACATGGTGCCCCTCGCGATCTTTCACTATTCATTGCGATGTTTTGGTTGAACTACTTGAAGGAGTCGTCACGCTTGACTCTGCTACTGCATAATAATACACGTAAACGTGTAGTAGACTAGAGCGCATTGTTTCTGTGCAGCCACTCAGTAACAATAATAATAGTGTCAACATGGTCTGCACCCGCGCTTCCTGGATACTCGCGTTCTTGCAGTGCGTTCTGCTTCGATACCGGCTCAGCAGCGTTCTGCAGGCGGTCACATGACGTGTACATGTACACGAAGTGCGCGAACATCATTCGTATTTATACCCAAGTTAAGGTCACAAGCATTGTCGCCTTTTCCTCGGATGTGCTTAGCTCATGGATCCCGAATGGAGGTGGAAACAAAGTGCGATGCAGTGTGATGCCATCATGGTGCTCGGCATTGTGTATCCCACGCACGATTGTGGTAACTGTGCTCTCTCTCTCTCTCTCTCTCTCTCTCTCTCTCTCTCTCTCTCTCTCTCTCTCTCTCTCTCTCTCTCTCTTTCTCTCTCTCTCCTCTCTCTTTCTCTCTCTCTCTCTCTCCCTCTCTCTCTCTCTCTCTCTCTCTCTCTCTCTCTCTCTCTCTCTCTCTCTCTCTCTCTCTCTCTCTCTCTCTCTCTCTCTCTCTCTCTCTCTCTCTCTCTCTCTCTCTCTCTCTCTCTGTCTCTCTCTCTTCTCTTCTCTTCTCTTCTCTTCTCTTCTCTCCTCTCTCTCGCTCTCACTCTCACTCTCCTTCTCTCTCTCACTCTCTCCTTCTCTCACCTTCTCTTTCTCTCTCTATCTCTCTATATCTCCCTTTCCCTCTCTCCCTCTCTATCTATCTATATATCTATCTATCTATCTATCTATCTATCTATCTCTCCTTCTCTCTCTCTCTCTCTCTCTCTCTCTCTCTCTCTCTCTCTCTCTCTCTCTCTCTCTCTCTCTCTCTCTCTCACTCTCCTTCTCTTTCTCTCTCTATCTCTCTATCTCTCCCTCCCCCCCCCTCTCTCTCTCTCTCTCTCTCTCTCTCTCTCTCTCTCTCGATATTCTGAGGAATCGTCGTTTGGCTGCATCATGTTGTCAATTGATGACAGACTGACAGTGGTGGAGGTCCCACCCGGGTAGCGAACGTTGCAGGCTCAAATCTGGGATGTGTATGGGGTGTTGTGACTCGAGTCTTCAGGCCAGATTGGCCACCCCACGCTCATCCCGCGGTATCTCACTCTTCTCCATGTACACTGGAGTAGAGAATTCTAAAGATTCGGTGGCTCGGCGTGCCCATAACCGAGCCCAACAGTCAACATACTGGGTGACAGGAATGTATTATTATGTTGTTCTGTGTGCTATTCTTGATCGAAATGGGCCGAACGGCCCTGTCAATTAGCGCCGCGAATTGCCATTCTTCACGTGACAGGTCCCTGTAATTCGTTTTCGCAGAACATCGTGCTGCATATTCGAATGGCTGGATACAGTTATGCGTGCAAAACTGCTAACATTCTTCATCACCGCAGGGCTGTGTGTACTTGGAAGCACTTGATTCAGCACACCGCATCCTTCCTCCTTATTGTTACCATCTTGTCAGTGCAGTGTGCATGCCGATGTATTATTAAAAGGAGAACAACCACACGAATGCAAGTGACAGAGTATTCTGGAACTTGGTCCTGGGTGTGCATTGCACTGTTTTGCAGCACGTGTACAATGACATTATGTACAGTACTGCTCGATGGAGTTGTACTCCCATCGCGTGAGACAATGTATAATTGTGTACATGTACATGTAATTTGCTCTGCCCATATGAGCATTGAGCACTCTCTATCGGTCCCTGGAGGAGTTCTCCGTTTATAAAGACGAAAAGATCTTTGAACCTGCAAAGTCATGGACGGCATTGTTTTTCACACACAGTGTACATGCTCAACCAAGGGCGGAGCGGAGCAATACACACAGGCAGAACAACAGAGACCAACAATCCTTTCCATGGCTCTCCGCAGACTGTAGGTACATATACGTCATGTGGGTACACTGTACATGTCTGAGTCTGATGAGTGTTACGCACACACACACACGAAACTCAGAGTTACGGAAAGGATTTTGGTCCCTGTTCTTCTACCTTTGTGTAAGGCCTATTCTATACATTCTTATCACAGTCGTGTATGCATCCATTAGTACATGAAACTAACTTTTGTCAAACCGTAGATCTACCCTTGTTATGTCTCCGAGTCATATTCCTCAGGCAGAGGAGCTGATGTGGCGGCTGGAGCGGCCGGTAAACTATAATAGATAGGAAGGAAGGGGATACAAGTGCAGGCTGGCACTGACAGGAGTAGAGAAGGTCCACACTTGACAAACATACACTATGCATGAATCTGAATCACGATTTGAATTTTGGTTTTCATTTGAAATCATATTATTACACATGTACTATTTCCTGGTTTCTTCACCATTCTGCACCAAGAACTTGCAACACTTCAAAGTTGCAGCCAACCCCCATTTGAAGACCAACGACTGGTCGTGGGCACATGACCATCTCTGAGTATCAGCATCATATCTGCCTCACCCCATGACTTCCAAATTCCGCTCCACATACTATTCCCAATAACATCTGTTCCTATTTTCTCTCCTTCTCCTCCTAGCACTGTCTGTCTTATCCTTCCCCTCCTTCTAATGTACTGTCTTTCCTCCTAACATCTCGTATCATATGTACCTGCCACTCCTTTCATTTTCTTCTTTGGTGCGTTTATGTACCTATGACGTCGAGACATCAGATCGGCTGAGGGCAAAAAGCCTCACCATCACTATGCTCCCACTATGCAATTTTTTGTCTTTGCCTGTGAGCTGTGATCATTGTAAAAAAAACCACTTTTGCATTGTGTATTGAGCAGGAGTGGTGCTTTCTTGCAGATTTGCCGTGGAAGGTGCGACAGGCTCCGCGTGTGCTCCTTGTGGCAGTCGTTTGTCAAGTGTCAAATTCGGCAGGAAGCGTGTGTTCCACAAACAGTGTACATGTAGGAGCAACCAATTACTTCATCACTAAAGACAAGAGTACACGGGCATATGAACTCTTGCTAAAGTATAATACCGCCAAAGTCGCTACCTTCTAGTTCGTATTGTTGTCCCTCGCGCGGACCTTCCAGCGTTGTAAATAGCGTCTGTTTAGCACCACATCACGAGTGACACTGAGTCTGAGTCACGCTGCTGTCTAGCGCCTGAGGCCTCACGAGGTGTTTGTCGCGCTGGAAATGGAGCGTCTCTGTAACCTTGTATCCCTGGTGATGGTTTGGCCTGGAGAGCACTATAATGGCGCCACAATACTGAAGTACTTATAACTGGTACTCTTCAGGCAC